GCAGGTGCTCTGCCTGTATGCACCTTGTCAGTACTTAATAATAGTAGATAGTGTTTACTGAGCACTCATGATATGCCCCCCGCTCATTGAATCCTTCCAGCAACCCCTAGGATAGGTGTCACTGCTTATTTGACCATTGAGGAAACCAAGTCCAGAGAATTGAGTGACTTGGCCACCCACCCAGTGGGTGGGGCTTCCAGGTCCAGGCCCTTAGTCATCCCATGTACCGCCCTGACATAGGTGTCCGGGGCTTGGAATAGGGGCCGCGCATAGAATCACCTGGGGAGCCTTTCAAATACACCAGTTTTCAGGCCCACCCTACAGCAAGGATCCGAATGTGCTGGGACCACATCAGAATTTTTTAAAAGCCCCCCGGGGAAAGGACCTTTTTGCTTGTCTGTCTCCTCCACCAGGTCCAGGCACCTTGGGAGCAAAGAACAAGCCATATTCATCATTTTCTCAGCAGCCAGCACATCAGAACGGCTCAATGTGTTGAAAATGAACAAACTAATGAGCAAATTATACTTTTCCTGGGAACCAGCCTCAAGACCTCAGTGTTCACTTCCTTGCTTCCTGACTCCATACCCTTGCCAGGGTCCCAGCAACTCTGCCCAGGTCCCGCGGTGCAGAGGGGTCGAGAGGGATGAAGGGTCTGGGGCCAGGATCTTGGGGATCCTAAGCCTTAAGGAACCAGCCTCAAGCCAGATGCCCGTAGGAGAGGAAGATAAGACAGAAGAACTGGCACACAGAGTGCCCAGCCTGTGCCCTCTGTGGGGGGCATGGGGAAAAGGACCAGGAAGGGACTTGCCAAAAGGAACGAAGCTCCTCATACCCACCAGAGTTCCAGAAGCCGCCTGTCGCTGAGAAGAATTGGAGAATCGCTGTCAGAGGAAAGGAATAAGTTATTCTTTCATATGATGTGTGAATCACTTGGACACTTTTTGTTTTGGTTAATCCTCACCAGAGGATGTTTTTTCCATTGATTTTTTTTTTTTTTAGAGTGGCAGGAGGAATCGGGGGGAGAGAAGGGGTGGGTGGAGAGAGAAATATCGATGTGAGAGAGACACATCGATGGGTTGCTTCCCATAGGTACTGGGGATAGAATCAGCAACCCAGGTATGTTCCCTTTACCAGAAATTGAACCATGACCCTTTGGGCTGACACTGTAACCACTGAGCCACTGGCCAGGGACACTTTGACATGTTTTATCCTAATCTGTTTAATTTTTTCAAATCACTGCCTGTGGCCCACCAAAGTAATGGAAAACCCTGCTGCCCCGCTGATCTCCTGGCTTCATGCAGTGTCCTGGGGCCTCCACCACTGTGGACTCCTGCACATGTCCTTCCGGCTGTCATTCTGTCCACACACAGATTCACCTACCTTCTGCTCCGTCCTGGTGCCCCCAGCTCATTAAATGGCTCCCTCCCTCCAGTGTCTCCAGCCCCAGCCCAGGAGTCACGGCTGGTTCCTCTTTTTCTCTCATTCCTGGCATCCAGTCTCACAGCAAATCCCGTCAGCTCTACCCAATGTGTATCTTGAGCCTTCATGAACTTTCCATTTCTTTCCATGCCCGCTGCCACCCTGGCCCAAGGCACTGGCCTCTCACTGGGGCTCACAGCACTGGCCCCAGGGGGTCTTGCTGCTGCCACAATCTTTTTATTTACTATCTTCTTACCGAATGTCTTTAACCCCCTAGAACATGAGCTCTGTGAAGCCACGCACCTATGAGACACTTCATTACTACCTGTTGGTTAGATGCCTCCCTGAGGATATGAGTGAGTGGAATGAGATGAAGCCAGCAGACTCTGGGTTCTGGCCCCTGGGCCTTGGAGGGAGAGGAGCAGGGGGAGAGGAGGCTGAGACCTCCGTCACCAGGCCGGGACTGACAGTTGAAAACATTGTTTTCCACTTTGTTTCCGCTTCAGCCTCAAAATCTGGGAACCTCAGAGGACAAGCACCCTTCCCTGGGACCCCTGCAAGGAGCCCAGTGTGTGTGTGGGGGGGGGGGGGGGAAGAGAGGTGCTCGGGGGTCCTTACCTGCTGCGCAGAGCAGGCCCCGTAGCCCCAGGCCCAGCATGGCTGCAGCACAAGGCAGGCTCCTCACCTCTGGCAGCAGCTGCACCTGAGCCTGTGGTCCCTTCCTTGCTCTCCACTCTCCTCCTTCCTACCCAAACTGCAGATTTTACTAAACAAATGCTTATTCGGTGCTTACTGCCTGCCAGCCATTGTGTGAGGTGCTGGGGGTGCAGCTGGAAGAGAGGGGAGAAGAGGTGTGTCCTCCTGCCAGTGGCGGGGAAGGCAACAGGGGTCAGGAAACTGATGAGCAGAGATGAGGGGAGCCCGGCTCTGGGGCTGGCTGCTGGGGCGGCAGGAGTGGGTGACAGAGGGCGGTCAGGTTAGGCCCAGGGTTCCTCAAGGGCCAGCGGGCCAGGAGTGGAAGGAGAGAGGGGCGATGGGGAGGGAGAAGGAAGGGCATGTGTGCCAGGCTTTGCTGGACTCTCCTCCCTCACAGCAGCCACACCAGCCAGCGGGGGAGGCCGGGACCCCTATGTCACACCTGAGAAAGTTGTGGCTCAGAGAAGTGAAATAACTTACTCAGGACATAGTGGGAAGCAGCAGGGCAGCAGTTCAGACTCGGTCACTGGCAAGTGTAAGGTGGGGAGGCAATGGGCCCCCACAAGTCCTACCCCAGTGAGGTCAGAGGCCTGCCCAGGACCAGGCTCGGCTCCCTGATTAAGCACAGACCGGAGACCAAGGCACTTTCTCTGGGGAAGCAAGAACAGCTCCGGCTCTGTCTTTCTCTTTCCTTCTCCCTCCTGCCCAGCATCCTGTTTATGCCCTGCTTCTCTCTGTTGCCCAGGGGGCTGAGCTTTTGGAAACCACAGCCTGGAAGACTTTTCTCTGCTCTCCACCCTTCACATCCTTCCCAGAGGGAAGAGCAAACAGCCCCTCTAAAAAGGCAAAGGCAAAAGCCGTTAATGTGTCCACAGGGACATCCTGCCATAGCATTCTCTTGTGCAGCGATGGCCTCAGATGACTCCGTCCCAGGGACAAAACCCCATTGCCTCGGCCTCTGAGGGTCACTCCCGGGGGATAGGAGGGAAGCTGGCCGTCCTGGCCTGGGAAACCCCCCCTACCCCCTGCCAGGACCCCGTCACTGACCACCTTTCTTGATTTAAGAGTCCTACTGGGCACCCTGGGGTTGAAATCCCAGTTTCTCTTTTCTCTGGAGAGACTGTGAGCTCCCTGAGAACAGGGACCGCGCCTGAGCCACAGAGCACTCACCCACAACTAGGACGGACTCTCAGTAAGGCTCTGTGCTATGGTTTGTGTTAGGAAGACTTGCTATTGTTATTCTCTGGATTCCCCCACCTACCTAGGACCCTGTCTGGCACCCAATGCTCTTGAATGCAGGGCAGGGGAGGGGACTGGTGATGAGGGAGGAGGACAGCCCTGCTCCCCAGGCCCGAGTTTCACTGGTGTTGTGTCAGGAAAGCCAGGCAGGGGGAAGGGGGAAGGGGAGAAGGCAGGAGTGGGCTCCCTCAGTGACCCAGGAACAAACAGAAGGTTTGCATGAGCTGCAGGAAGCAAAGGGGTTCATGGAAACTCCGTAGCATCTCCACCCCCCCACCCTCAACACACACACACACAGGACATCCTTAGGTAAAGGTTTACAATGTTCACTTTCCCATGGCCTATATAGACCTTTTCTCTCGGACCCACCAGATCCCCAAAGTGGAAGCTGCACCTCCCACCCTTGCTTTTTTAGATCAGGCAGGTGTTCTGCAAAGTGGTGGCTGGCGCCTGTCTGGGGTCTTGGTTAGAGATGTGCACTGTGGCCACAGCCAAGCACAGTCCAGCGGGCAGTTGGCCCATATGTACTGAATAAATGAGTGAGCCATGTGCTGTTGTTGACTGTATGGATGTGGACATGACCTGCTGGAGTCAGTTGTGCCTCATGGGGCCATTTCTGCCTGAGGGGAAGGTTCTGTACAGCCAGCCTAACACCCTGCACAGCTGGGGGAAGCAGCGGGCTCCCGACCAGTGGGCCTGTGCTCCCCAAGGCCGCTATTTGAGGCCTCTCTTCAGGACTGCCAAGTAGAGGGGCTGGGGAAGGGGGAGTGGGGGCACGGAAGGGATGGGGTTCCTACATCCGCATTATGTGTGAGGTCTGTGAACTTATCTTTGTTAACCCCAGTTTTATAAATGTCAATGGGAAATGCTGACATGGGACAGGGGCTGCCGTGGCTGGAACAGTCCACGCCCTTGGGGAGGAGGTTAAACGTGTTTGCTGCGTGGCCAGGCTGCCTGGGTTCATGTCCCAGCTCCCTCACCAGGCTCTCTGACTTCAGAAAATGCCAGCGCTGAGTTAAACAGTTTCTTCATCTGTAAAATAGGAATAATGATAGTGCCTACCTCTTAGGGTAGTTGTGTGGATTAAATAAACACATTCAAAATGCTTGGTTAAGACACTGTTTTATTACAGTGAATTCCCATATTCCTGGAGGTGAACCCTTGACCTAGTTCAAACCTGCAAGCAAGCCTGGCAGGGTCTCCAGGAAATCACTGAACCAGACAATCCAGGTCCACCGGCCCAGCACCCCTCTCCAGGGTGACACAGTCCCCTTAGCAATGGGACAGCCCAGTGTCTCTGTGCCTGAGCCATCCCATTCTGCCACAAGGAAAGGTGCTGCGTAGCCCCGGCCAACTTGCACAACTGTCAGGTATTCACCAAGCTGCAGGCAAGCCGCGGGAGGCAGCAGACTGGGGAGGCTGGGGTGCGCTTGAGCCGGGATTCACTCTGTTGAGAGCAGGTCTGAGAATGAGCCCAGAGGGGGAAGGGGGGTCCAGACAGAGGAAAGATATGGTGGTCAAGGGTTGCCCCAGAGAATCTGGAAAAAGGAGTATTTCCTCCTAGAAGGACGGATCCGGGGGGTCTGGGAAAACAGGCATCCCTTGCTAGGCTTTCTTGTGATTCATAAATGTTGGTTTTTTTACAGTTTGAAGGCAAGACCCTCCCTGAGCAAAAGGATTACAGCTTCCTTTAGTGCCGTGTTCTGGAAGCTGAGGGACGACATGATGGGTGATGATGGATTGAGGAGGAGGAAGAGACAGGTAATGTGATAGTTAATTTTACGTGTCAACTTGACGAAGCCACAAGGTGCCCAGGTAGTTGGTCAAACATGATGGTGTGTGTGTGTGTGTGTGTGTGTGTGTGGTGGTTCTATGAGATGCACAGTTGAGTTGGTGGACTGAGCAAAGCAGAGTGCCCTTCCAGTGCGGGCAGGCCCCCTCCAGTCGTGAGGAAGGAGTAGAAATAAAGGTCAAATAGAAAGAGTTCTTCCTCTCTTTCTGTGGACTGTTTTGGAGCTGGGACATGTGTACTTGGACTGGAACTTACACCATTGTCTCTCCTGGGGCCCCAGCCAGCAGAGGGCAGATTGTGGGATCCCGTGAGCCAATCCCTTGAAATAAATCGGTTTACAGGTAGGTAGACAGGTAGGTCTCCTGTTCATTGTTTCTCTGAAGAACCATACAGGTAACCCAGTGGAAGGCAAAATAGAAAGCCTGTAGAAGGCCCTGGGGTCTGGAGGAAGGAGGCCCGCTGAGGTTCCCAGTGGGGTCAGCGAGGCGAATCTGATGGACCCCAGGCCAGCACTGCACCTCCTTCCTGCGGACTCCAGGGCTTCCATGTTTCCAGTTCTCTGAGAGCTGAGGGAGGTCCATGTACAACCCCCCATGGTGGTTGCATTTATGAAGATCCCCTGACAGGCACCCCTCGGAGATAATGTGGGTTTTGTTCCAGACCATTGCAGTAAAGTGAGTCGTAATCTTTTTTTTGTGGGAGGAGGGCTTTGCCTTAAATTTGTAAAAAATATAACGTATGTGAAGCGTTATAAACCAGGGTCTACCTTTATTTCCCGAGGACCTCTGAGGACAGGCATGTGTTACCTGCAGCCCCCTCTGACGTGGTGGATTGTCAGCTTAACGCACACACAGCTCAGAGGGCACCTTGCTCTGCGGTGCTGGAGGACGTGCAGATTTAAGCCCAGTCCAGACTGCCGCGTAGTGAGTGTGACAAGGCCAGATGAAGGTGAACGGGGGCCAGGTGGCGCAGGGAAAGCTGCTTTGTATGCAGCACTCCTGCTGGGCCGGCTAGGAGCCATGCTGAGGAGACAGGGCCCAGCGTGGAGGGGGTGGTCCCTGACGAGGGAGGGAGCCTGTCACCATCGTCATCTGAGGGCCAGGCTGCTGTTGGTGCTGGGCAAGCCTGTCATGTGGGGGTAGCAGGGCCCTGCCTGGCTCCTGTGCTGGGGTTTAGGGAAGAACCTGGGTCAAGAGGAACTAGGGTACTGGGAAGCCCTCAACGCCAGGAATGGGGTCCAGCAGAACACGGCAGAGAGCCAGCTCCAAGAACTGGGCCATGCCCCTCCCCTGGGCTCCCTCACCATATTGTAAGTGCCACTCTGTTGTCACCTCTGTCGGTGATGAGTTCTGGGGGCCAGGGCCCTGCAGAGTGCTTGGCACATAGCAAGTGTCCTGAACCAATAGGGGACTCGATGTGCTGTCCCTGCACAGTGACCTTGAGCTCCTCGCTGAGAGCCGGCCTGGCCCTGAGCCTGGACCAGGGAAGCCTGGCAGGAGGTGTGGGGCTGAGGGCGGGGCAGGCCCCAGCAGTCACAGCTCTCTGGATGGGTTATACTGTCACGGCTTTTAGAGGGGTGAGGACACAATGGAATCCCTTTTGTTTAATCAAGAATTAGGTAAAAATAGCCCTGCCAATGTGGTTCAGTGGTTGAGCATTGACCTATGAACCAGGAGGTCACAGTTTGATTCCTGGTCAGGGCACATGCCCGGGTTGCGGGCTTGATCCTCAGTAGGGACATGCAGGAGGCAGCTGATCAGTGATTCTCATCATTGATGTCTCTCTCTCTCTCTCTCTCTCTCTCTCCTCTCTCTCTCTCCCTCCCTCCCTCTCTGAAATCAATAAAATATGCTTTTTACAAACTTATAAAAAATACAGTAACACTTTAGGGGGCTCGGCAAATGGGTGGCTTACTTCAGTGTTTGATTCAATGCAAGTGGTCTTCCCTAGGGAGCCACTTTCACAGAAGTTTTGCCACACAGAGGCCTCCCTCCTCAGCTTCAAGCTGGAGCCCAGGGCCCCAGAGGTTCCCTTGTCACATGGTCCGGTGCCTGCAGGAGGTCAGAGAGGTCTGCAGGCTCCAGCATGGGCCTGGGACAGACCAGCATTGCTGTATTACAAAGCCTCGACCAACAGCGTCATTATTGTAATCTCTGTCTCCACGTGCCAACCCATTGGCCATTCAGGTGACAGAGGTGGATCCCGAACCCGAGCTCTCACTCTGCCAGTTCGCAGCTGCTAGGAGGTTTATCCCTGCTCCAGTGTCCACTGCAACCTTCCCTTTCAGACCTTCTCTGCTACCTCCCTTGTGTGCTAAAAACAGCAGAACGCTCAATCCAGTTTTCTTATGAGGGCACTTGTGATAAGACGGAGGAAATGCACTGGGAAGGTGTGGCAGAGATTGGCTACCTACTCCTTAAGCTCATTTTCTCTTATTCTTGGGAGAACCTTGGTCGCATGTCTCAGCATCCTTTGCAGTTGGGTGTGGCCTTGTGGTTGTGGTCTAGCCAAAGAAGTGGGAGCGATGCAGGCTGCTCCCAGGACCGAGGCTGGAACCCTCCCACGTGATCCTCGTGGCAGCCAGGCAGAAAGTACAGTTGAGAGCCAGCTCAACTGCAGGGGTTAGGGGCACAGCCCCCGTGCAGTTTTCAATCCACGAATAACTTCTGACTCCTCAAAACGTAACTGCTAACAGCCTGCTGTTGACAGGAAGCCTCACCATTAACATGTATTTTCTATCTTATATGTATTATATACTGTACTCTTATAATAAGGCTAGACAAAAGAAAATGGTAGGAAATCGCAAGGAAAACATTTATAGCGCTGTACATATTTATTGAAAACAAAAATGTGCATGTAAGTGACCCATGCAGTTCAAACCGGTGTTGTTCAGGGTCGACTATAATCCCTCAACAAGAGCCATCCAAAGAGGATGCACCCAGTTTCATTGCTTCCGTGCCAAATGGGGATTTGGAGGTGTCCGATGTACAGGGAAGGCTGCTGGGGACTAGGATGGCAGCTGTAGAGAGCCTGCAAGCCCAGAGGCCGGCAGAGCCAGGAGTATAGCTGCCCTCCTCTATTTGGACTCCACCAAGGAGGCAAAGGGACATCGGCCAAGCGAGGTGGCCGAGGGGCCATATTTGGCAGGAGCAGGGAGCCTCTGATGGTTGGTGGCTCTTTATCTCCCACGCAGGCTACTCTGTAACTGCCGGCTGTGGGCAGAGGAGCAGGTCCCCCTCGCTGGGTCCCGAGAGGCCCTGACAAACACGCCCCTGTCGTGCGAATGCACAGGAGAAAAAAGCCCGTAATCCTCACACAATACCTTCGCTCTGAGGTGTCACTTACCGTTAGATACATCGAATTAGCTGGAGATTTACATTCTTCTGTTCACAATATTATGTTTTGTTCCTGAAATAGAGGTCCTAGAAGTTCCCATGGTAGAAACTGGATCATTGTTCCATAGAAACAATATAATAGGATTATGATTCCAGCCCAAATCAGGCACACTATTTATAGAGATGATCAGAAATTGCATAGTAACCAACGTGTCAACAAGCAAAGGTGACCATCCTGATGTGGTAAAGCTTTATGAGGCGTCTGTAAATCAGTCCAGTAGGATAATGCAGTAGCCAATCACATTAAATCCCTAAAAGATGTATGTGAGAGGTTCTGGGGTAGGAACCAGCGAGCCCCTCTGGCTGAGGGCTGTGCCCGACCCTGGGGGTTGTTCCCAGGCTGTTGTGAGAGCCAGTCACCTGGGTCAGGTCCATCCGAGGGGGCCTGGAGACCACAGCCGACAGGATCCTGGGCACCTGGATGAAATATTGTCCCAATCCAAGGCCTTTAGAACGCTGGGCCACCCAGTGGTCAAATAGGTCCTACAGCAGGGGTGACATTCATGTTCTCTGGGCTACCTGTGGCTGAGCTGGGCTTCATCGTAGCCTAGATCCTGGGATTCTATCCCCTGCAATCACAAGAGACCAGACCCAGAGGCCTAAGGCCAGTTTTCAATCCCCTCTTCCCCACCAGCCTTTCCACACAACTCTGTCTTCAAGAAGCTGAAAACCTTTGGAAAGGAAATCAGTGGCGTCGTTGGAGAAGAGAGATGTGTGGCTGCCTCTGTGTCTCCACTGTGAATGCTCCTTTTCCACCAAATCCAGTGGAACCTGGGTGGGCGTATGCGCCTGGCCCCATACCAATGGGTGTTGCCAGGGACGGGGGTTAGGAAGAGCGGAGCTGGCATCTTCAGGAGGAACTGCCCACAGCTTGCAGGGAACAGTTATGCTGCAGCAACACCCAATGTCGCTGTGTCGCCCTAGTGCTTTGTGCAGTGGCGACATCTTAAGAAGGAAACAGGTTTGTCAAGCGGATTTCCTGAGCCCTCCCAGAGCGCATCCATGACGACAGTGAGGTATTGGGAGCCTGATGGTGAGCATCGTGAGAAGGCACAAGCCTGGAGCTGTGGGTCTCATTCAATGTCTGTCCAAACGATGGTGATTTACGTGTGTAATTTATAGAGCAGTTTCACAAGGAGACCTTGATTTCTTTGAAGACCCAGTTTCCTGATGGGTAGGCCATGGGCTCATGGGATCTGCTTGGCTAGAAGGAGGCTCAGGGAGCAGCAGCTCAGCCCAGCCAAGCAAAGGCAGGAGATCTGCAGCCACAGCGAGGAGGAGATGCTGCCACATCCGGTAACTTCAGTCGCAGCCAGCCAGTTTCACTGGAGTGGCACGCTCAGGCCCTGGGGTTTTTATAAAGCTCCGTGAGGGTGAGGGGGCTGGGAAGCTCCCCACCACTCCCTCCCTCCCCACCCTGAACAGAGTGACAGTCATATTCTCCTTTGGTTGTGGCAGAGTAAGAGCAAGGGCTGTCACCAGGTTGGGGGCTGTGAAATAACCCCCAGGAAATGCAACAGAAAGGCCGCAGGTGGCTCCCAGGAAGTCCCAGTGCTCGTGGCCTCTGGGCAGGACAGGCGCAGGCAGGGTTGGATTGGAGGGAGGTGCAAGGAGTCATTTCGAGGTGTGTTTGGCATGGACCTCACATGCAGTTTGCGTTGGTTCCTGCACCCCTGTGCTGCCTGTCCTCTATTCCCAAACTGTCCTTTTTGGAAGCAACTAGTATTCTTTAGGATCTGCCCCCCCCCCCCCCCCATCCCTGAGGCTTCTCACCTTTAGCATTGCCCACGGGTGACTTCTTGCCACAACCCTCTTCCAGGATGATGAAAGAAGCAGGAGCAGAGACTGGTGGTGGGGAGAGGGGACAGGGCCAGCCGTGCAGTCAGGGAGTCAGAACTCATCCTGCCGAGACTGAAGCTGCCCCTTCCCCGATCCCGCCCCCCGCCACCCCCCACAGGACAGAAAAACCCAGGTTAGCACAGTACCTGCACCTTAGACCAGAGAGGTTTCTCAACCCAAGACAGCTTCCAGTCCGAGGGAGGGTCCATCCCTGTCAGGAGAGCGTGGCAGAGGGAACTGTGGGCTCCGGAAGCCAGTGTGCGGGCAGACACCTCCTCCTGGTCTACTCAGCAGGGAGACGAGCCTACTGGGGAGGAGCCAGCAGTTCTTGCTTCTCCTGAGCTGTGCCCTGTGCCTCTGGGTGGACTTTGCAGGACACCTTCCCCCACGCGGCAGTCAGACCTGAGTCCCTCATCTCAGCGGCCAAGGCGCCCCAGGCTCACAGCTGCGGTGACACTCCAGGGTGGCGTGTGGGTGCTGGGCATTGTGACCTCAGCTGCTCCACACACAGGTGGTCACCCGGCCCTCACCTGGGCCTGCAATCTGCACAGGACAGTGGCCTGGTCACAGGGCCCGTCGTGGGGAGGTTGGGAAAAGAACACTCTGGCCTCCTCCATCATGTCGGCCAAGAAGGCAGAACTGAAGAAAGCAAACCTGGTAAAGGAGAAAGGGCTGGACCCTGGGGGGCCTCTGAGCCCCCATGAAGGGAGGAGGGGTGGGGGTGGGTACAGAGACCCCCTGATGAAAGCTGGGCTTCTCTTTCTCTGTCTGAGCATGAAGTGACCGCTTACCCCGGAAGGAGGGTGGGACTGATTCCTGGCCTCGATCTGGGAAGGAAAGCAGCCTCGGCTGGCTCCCTCCGGGACAAGGACCCATAGTACCAACCCCACCCTACTCCTCCCGAGGGCATGACCCCACCCAGGCCTGCGCCAGGCCTGCATCTAATGGGCATGTCTAAGGTGTACAATAACTTTATTATATAAATATAATTATCTTCCTCACTTTACAGATGAGGAAATGGAGGCCAGAAAGACTAAACAGCTTGCCCAAGTTGGCATGGCCAGTAGGGAGGACAGCTGAGATTAGAACCTGAGTCTGCGCTCCTGAAAGAGTACTTATGTGGCTTCTTAAAGTTCCCATAAAATTCCTCTCTGCCCAGGCACCCCCAGCAGGGAGAGAGCTGCCTGCTGAACAGGCAGGTGATGCTCATGAGAGATGTGTAATTGGAGTTGTCCTGAGTCGGGGGCTGGGGGACATGCGGGCTTGGGCTCAAGCACAGTTCGACAGGCAGGGCCGGGTGAGGGTCCTCCTGTCAGGGCCCGGGGGTAGCCACCCTGGTCCTGATGCCTGTATCCCAACTGCCTCTCTCCGCAGAGCAAGAACTACAAGGCAGTTTGCCTGGAATTGAAGCCAGAGCCGAGCAAAGTAAGAAGCTCTTTTGAGCCCATGCCAGCACCCAGGCCTGAGAGCTGTGGGGAGCTGACCTGGAGTCAGGGGTCATTCGCTTTGCTGTGGCCAAGACCTGTCCCAGGTGCTGGGGGTACACTGAGAGACAGACAAGCTCTCTGCTCTCATAGAATGTCACACTAGTAACTAATCGGATAAATGCACACATCAGGAAACAAAATCAGTAGTGTTAGTGCCACATAGAGAATTAAAACGGAGATCTGACGGGGAGGCTGCTATAAATCAGGGGTCAGGATCGGCCTCTCTCTGCGCTGAGAGCTGAAGGATGAGACTCTGGCCACTCAAAGACTAAGGAAGAGCACTGTAGGTCGAGGAAGCAGCTGTGCAAAGGTCCTGAGGCAGGAGTGAGCCTGGCTGCTCAGGGACAGAGCTGAGGCCCAGGAGGGGAGAGGAATGAGAGGAGCTCAGAGAGAATTGAAGGATGGAGGAAACTGCTGCACAGGTGGGGCCACCAACTCCCCTCTGTCTACCCTGGCTGGGAGGGAGAAACAGAACCTCGGGGTGGTCTCTCCAGCCTTATCTACTCCACACCTGCAATTTCCAATACCCTGTGTTTCTGGTTTTAATCAACAGACATATGAATACAAAAGAATTAAACCAGAAGGGCCATTTACCAAAACGGGAGGGACGAGGGAGCTAAAGGTAGGTGTTTGAACCCAGGCTGCAGGGGTGGGGTCAGCCCAGTGAAGAGGGGCTGGGCAGCTAAACAACTTCCATGGGGGATAAACTGTGGCAGCGGGCCCTGTGACTCCATTCTCTTCAGTTCTTTTGGTTTGTTTCCTTTAACTCTTTATTGTGAAACTAGAGGCCCAGTGCATGAAATCATGCACCAGTGGGTCCCTCGGCCTGGCCAGCGGGATCAGGCCGAAACCGGCTCTCAGACATCCCCTGAGGGGTCCCAGATTGCGAGAGGGCACAGGCCAGGCCAAGGGACCCCACTGATGCACAATTGGGGCTGGGGAGGGACGCGGGAGGTTGGCCAGCTAGAGAGGGACTGCAGGAGGGCTCCAGGGCGTGTCCGGCCCATCTTGCTCAGTCTTGATCGGTTGGACCTCAACAGCAAGCTAACCTACCAGTTGGAGCATCTGCCCCCTAGTGGCCAGTGCATGTCATAGAGAACGGTTGAGCGGCCTTAGCATATCATTACATATTATGCTTTGATTGGGTGAACGAACGACCAAATGACCAGACACTTAGCATATTAGGCTTTTATTATATAGGGTAATTTCAGACTTAGAGAAAAGTTTCAAAAAATGACACAATGAATTCTAAGTATACCCTTTGCCCAGATTCCCCAAATGTTGGCATTTAATCATGGTTCTTTCCCTCTGTCTCATATATTTATATATTCACACACATACACACACACACAATGAATATATATATTTCCTGAACTATTTGGTAGCATGTTTCTCTCAAATTTTGGTATAAATTTCCTAAAAACAAGAACACTCTCTTATATGGCCAGTAATATTATCAGGTATCAAAACTAGGAAATTAACTTTGACACAGTATTCATCTACAGCCTTTATTCTAATTTCAACAATGACCCCACTAATGTCTTTCATAACAAGAGAAAAAACAGCCTTTTAGTCTGGGACCCAATCTTGGATCACACATTGCATCTGGGCTGTGTGTTCTTAGCCTCCTGTCACCTGGAACAGTTCTTCAACCTTTATCTCTTGGACACTGGCATATTTTAGGATTAGAGACCATTCATTTTGTAGAATGAGCCTTATTTGGGGTTGTTTGTACATTTTTGGCGGCCATATCCCAGAAGTGTCAAAGGCACATGATGTCTGGATGTCCCACTCTCTCCTGTTTTCTTTCTTTTTTAAAACATATTTTTACTGATTTCAGAGAGGAAGGGAGAGAGAGAAAAAGAGGTGCAGGGACAGAGAAACATCAATGATGAGAGAGAATCATTGATTGGCTGTCTCCTGCATGTCCCCTACTGGGGATCAAGTCCACAACCCCAGGCATGTGCCCTCACCAGGAATCGAACCGTGACCTTCTGTTTCATAGGTAGATGCTCAACTACTGAGCCACACTGGCCGGACTCTCCTATTTTCTTAGTAGCCTCCTTTCTCTCCTCCCTGATGGGAAGTCTCTCTGTCCTTCCTTATCCACGCCCCTGGATCTTTTCTTTCCTCCTTTGGCACTTGCCCTTCCATCCAAGACATTTCTTTACTCTTCCTCTTCCCAATTTTATTTCCTCAGAATGATCTCAGGGAGGTGAGGGAAGAGCTCAAGGAAAAGATGGAGGAGATAAAACAGGTAACAGGATGGGACTTTCCAGAACTTGAAGGTGAAGGGTAGCTTCCAGGAAAGTGCAGTGCCTGACTTTGAACAGAGAAGGAAATCACGAGTTGCACGGAGAAAGCACTCCAATAAACTCAGCCCAAATCCCCTAGAGCAGTGGTCGGCAACCTGTGGCTCCTTGAGTGTGGCTCTTCCACAAAATACCACGTGCGGGCGCACACGTACAGTGCGATTGAAACTTCGTGGCCACACTCCAGGGGCCAAAGAACCGCATGTGGCTCGCGAGCTGCAGTTTGCCGACCATGGCCCTAGAGCATTTAAGTGTTGGGCAGCTTAGGATAGTTACTAGTATTTGTTTGATGCTTCAACCCAATGATTGAGTGATGAGGACTCCTAAGGTGTCTTAGGGATAAGGTTGGGGAGATATAACTTCAGTGACAGAGAGGGGCTGATTGGAATTTGGGGGCAGTCAGGACCAGTTCAGTTTTTCTTACTCACCTCCCCTTAGCAAGCTGCAGAGCAAGACCTCTTCTCTTGTTTCCTTGATGGGACAACCTAGAGCAGGGGTGGGCAACCTTTTCGTGAGTGCATGCCAAAACCAGTAAAATCTCTGACTCAAAATTCTTCTGCATGCCAACCCTAATTTTTTGAGAACATGTTACGCCTACTTGATATTTCTTAAGGTGTACGTATGTGAAGATCCTTGAAGAAAGAATAAAATTCATTCAAGCGACAAAAACACAGTATATGATGATGAAAAACACATTTATTTTTTAATGTATACATGTACACTGATAGTCTGACAGAAAACTTTATGACTCCGTTTGATATGATCAGTGGGACTTTTGCTGCTGCATCACTGATGACAGAGATTTTACATCAGGTTTATATTTCGTGACCTTCAGAAATATGCACGAGCTACTACTTTCATCTGTCAGGCTACTCCTATTATGAGACTTAACAAAATTCATCACTGAGAACAAAGATTTACAAGCGTATGTGGATGAAACCAAAACACTGGTCAGATCTAGGAAGGCAGGGAGAGTTAAGGCAGAGGCATAGAAATTGCTCCTCCCCTCTCTCGTCAATCCATGTCTATGGTCTTTAAGATAACTTGGTATGTAAAATTATTTATTTATTTAAGATGCACCTACACTGAATTTATCTGAAAAATAAAGTCGATATTAAGAAAAAAATTGTAAATGGAAGATTATAAGAGAGAATTTCGCGTGCCAGCAAAAGTTACTGGCGTGCCATGTTTGGCACACGTGCCAGGGGTTGCCCACCCCTGACCTAAAGCATCCTTACAAAGAAGGGGAATGCTCACGTGAGAAGGTGTCACTGCAGCTGTGGTCTGAGCTCCACATGGAAGCCTGGCAGTGGCCAGATCTAAGTTGTGCCAAGGCTGGTAGTGGTGACTAGATACTAACTGCACCCTAGTCCCTTCCCTGACCCCTTGAGAAGAAAGTGGCTTTAATGGGCCATGATTAGTCCATTCCTTGAGCTTCATCCAGCTCACTCCAGCAGAGCAGCTGCTGCCCTTTGCTTAAAATGACTCCACGGTCAGTAATATAGGCTCTGTGCCTTTCTTCCTTGTTAGATAAAATGTGTAATGGACAAGGATTTTGATAAACTCCAAGAATTTGTGGAGATTATGAAGGTAAGCATTTACATGGGCCAGTACCATCCTAGGATTTGTGGAAGGCAATACCAGGCCCTGCCCCAAATTCTATTGCAAGGAAGAATTTACAGGTGAGTAACAAGCTAAATGATAACTCTATGTCACTTTATTAAGAGTTGAGAGACGTGAGTAATGAAGGTGGGCTGGAGTAACCAGAAAAGTCCTTACAGAAAAAGTGAGTCTTCCGGTGCCCTGCACGCTGCTTTGAAGGCTTAATGCAAATCTAACCAAAAGCCCAATAAGATTATTTTTGAACTCAATAGTCACTAAGAGGATCATCTAGATACTAGAACCGTGGTTCTCAGACTTTGGTGTGTTGCAGAATCACCAACACAAGTAAACACAGCAAAGTCCCTATTTCAATGGGACCTGCAACTACCCCTACTGGATATTAAAACTCATAATAAAGCCACAATAATCAAGTTACGGTGGAACAGCCCAAGGATAACCAGCACAGAGAACCCTATAAGAGCCTCTCTGCCTGGGTACAATGAGGATACTTGTGAGGATTCCTAAAATTCACATGCCCAGGCCCAGGCCCAGATTAACAGGCTGGGGTGCAGTTGTGATGCTCTCCCCGGATGAGAACCCGGTCCTCAGCACCTCTGCAGTAGCTACTCACCTGGCTGCACTCACCTGAACTGTGGCTCTGACCTGCCCCCTTATACCCAGGCTGCACCCCATAACGAAATTGCATCAGAACGTCTTGGGATGAGGTCCAGGGTCAGTAGTTTTTAAAGTCCCCATATGATTACATTGTACACTCAAGTTTGGGAACCTTCCTCCCAGCTCTATAAAATTTAAAATACAATGAAGATGTTTTTTTAAAGGTCAGCGAGAAGGAAAGGATTATGTAATATTAACATTACTTGACTATATGAAGAGAAGACTTAATTCACTTAACTCTGTAAACTGAAATAGTCTACAACATGAATTTAAATATTAAAAAACAATAAGGAGAAAGGGTGTATAAGTATTTAACCAGATGTTCTAAGCATAAATACAATGGGAGAAATCACAAAAGAAATATTGATATATTTAACAATATTTTAAAAAATTGAAATTATCACAGAAAAGCACCATAAACAATTAAAAAGCCAACAACAGTTTTGGAGAAACAATTTTTTCCCACAAATATGAATATTTCCACATATAAAGTTCATACAAATCAATAAGAACCAGAAAGACAGCCAAAACCGGTTTAGCTCGGTGGATAGAGCGTCGGCCTGCGGACTGAAGGGTCCCAGGTTCGATTCCGGTCAAGGGCATGTACCTTGGTTTCGGGCACATCCCCAGTAGGAGGTGTGCAAGAGGCAGCTGGTCGATGTTTCTCTCTCATCGATGTTTCTAACTCTCTATCCCTCTCCCTTCCTCTCTGTGAAAAATCAATAAAAATATATTTAAAAAAAAAAAAAAGAACCAGAAAGACAAATGGGAAAAGGGCGGGAACAGATAATCCACAGAAGGGAATATAACTAAAAAGTAATAAGCATTAAAAGAGTTTACCTCATGGGTAATCAAATAAATGTAAATGAAAACAATGATTAGATTGTCACATTCAAACAAGCACAGTTTTAATTTATGATAATTATAGATAAGATAGGAATGCTTTCGTACTGCTGCTCAGAGTTCAAGTTTGTACAAAGCTGAAAAGGAATTAGACTATAAGTATCAAAAAGCACTTAAACCCCTTGACTTATCAGTTCCAGTTCTCAGAACTTAACCTCTGAGAATAACCAGAAAAAGTTGGAAATAACCACAATTTTAACAGTAGAAAAATAGGCAAGTAAGTTATGGTATATTCATATATGGAAAATTAGGAACTGTTAGAGACAGTGCTTAGGAAGAATGCTTGTAATGAGAAGTAAAATAGGCAAGATGCAAGGCATGTGTACAGGCTGAGCTCAACTAAATGGGAAAAAATGGGTAAATGAACATATAGAAAAGGGACTGGAAAGAAATATGCCAAAAGGGTTATTGTTATTTCTAAATGATGACAATTTTTTCTTTTATATTCCTCTGTGTTATCCAGATTTTCTGCAAAGGGCATGTGTTATTTCTTTGGTAAAATGCAAGCACAGTGAGTGTTTTGTTAGTGGGTAGGACTGGGCATGAAAGGCACACAAAGGAGGCTATTTCTGGCGTGGGCACAGCTTGCGCACAGCATGGAGGCAGGAGGAACATGAAGCGTATCCCAGTCAGTGGGGAGATCAGTCATAAAAGTGGGATCATTTGGGGAAACTGTGAGAAATAAAATGGAAGGGGCACCGAGGAAGTGGGTAATGAAGGCTTTTGAAAGACAGGCAGACCGGCTGGGACGTGGCTGTGTAAGCAGGAAGGGGCCTCTGGAGATTCTTAATCAAAGAACATGCTGCGAGCAGCATTTCAGAAAGCTGAGCCGGCAGGTGTTTGCAAGGTGGCCTGGGGACCCTGGGGAACAGGGAGGGGTCACCTGGAGCAAAAACATCAGACAGGAAGCCACATCCAGCTCAAGGTGAAGAAAGCTGGACCAGGTGTAGAAAGGAAAGGGTGAATCTGAAAGATGCATCGAAGGAAAAACAACATTCTTGGTGGCTGATGAAAGAGGAAAGCATCCATGATGACATCAAAATTTTAATCTGTGTAATTAGTAGAAAGTGGTGACAATGACGGGGTGGTTGGGAAATAGAACTAATTTAGAAGAGAAAATGAGGTCAGTTTGGGACGTGAGGAGTTTGAAGTGGTGGTGAGACTTGTAAAAGTATGGGATGTTTGACTCTGATTTTTTGGACCCAAGGGAAATTTTGACTTCAAGGATATTTTAACTCTACTTATGAATACGAATATTTTATTCAAAATTTATACTAACATTTAAAAATGCTTTTCAAGAAGGTATTTTTTGAAATCATCTCCACCCAGTTTTTACTGCAGTTCAGTAAACTGTTTCCCAATCTTTCATTTTTTATTAAAATTATTTTCCTCGAAACAAATTATTTTTCATTTACACTTTATGATGTTTGATCATAACATATATTATGTCAATAACAAATATTGTCTCTGATAACATCTGCCATCTCAGAATTTCTTTTGTGACCACTATTCCTATCTAGTTCTCCCAGGTCAATTTATCTAAACTTTGCTGAGATTTTACTATCCTTTCAGTTCTTAGTAAATAATGATTGTGAGGTGCCATTTGAGCTACTGTCAGTTTTGTGTTATGTTGACCATTTCTATCAGGAATTGGGTAAAAGATGGAGCAAACAAATATGAACTGTCTGGGTGTGTGGCAGGGCCAAACGTTGGGGTCAATGTGTCTTGGGGGGGGGGGGGCAGTCACACGATTTGTTTTCTTGGTTCTGTCATTTTATAGGCATGAAGCAAGGCAGGTAATGGTTTCATCTAAGTGTGAATTCAGATAAATCACTTCCTGGCCTCTGACTCACCTGGAGACTTTGGACAAGCCCCTGATGACTCTACCTATTCCTCAGCCTAATCATGGAATGGGGGAGGGAAAAAGGGAGGCAGCCCGTGCCAGCTTCACCCCATAAGCCCCCTCACCCAAGGCTGGTGAGATTCTGAGGAAGTATGAGGCCGAGATGTGATCTCTGAGTGATATTCAGAGAGGCAGGAGGAGAGGACTTCAAAAGCCCTTCAAGATGTAGGGTCTAGCTTTGAATTCTCTCTTGAAGGAAATGCAGAAGGATATGGATGAGAAGATGGATGTTTTAATAAATATACAGAAAAACAGCAAGCTGTAAGTATAACCTGCACCCATATCTCCTCGTTTCTAAAGAATCTCCCCCTTCATGTTGCTAAATGTCCTGTCTTCAGACCCTTCGAGGAGCTGTCTTGCTTTCTGTGGCCCCAACGGCTAGGAGTCAAGGCCTTCCACGGCCACCCGTGCTATGGGTATCTCCTTGTCATGTTGGAATTTGTCTCCCCAACTCTGCTCCTCCCTGACTCCCCAGTCCCCTTAGAAGAGGACCAAAGGAGCATCAGGAACTCAGGCAGATAGGAAAGCCTGACACAGACTCACAGCACCGGCTCAAGAAACTGGAGGGAGTTGAAGGAGCATCGCTTTCTATTCACAAGAAGAATATGGCACTACAGAAACTCAAAAAGGACCCACTGGACTCCCTTCATCAACGTGGGACCTGCTATGTGAGTGAAGCTTGCCACCCCCCCTGCTGGGAGCTGTACCCTGGGCTCCTGCTGCTGCTTCCCCTCCCCCTGGGCCTTCCTGACTCTGGAACCTTTGGCCGTAAGGATTGCACCCCTCTGCGGTCCCGGGAAGGCCCTGGAGCCTGAAGTCCTCTCTGGGGTCTTGCCCTATAGGCCTGGGGAGAGTCCTAAGTCATGACCAAGTAGGTAGGACTCAACCCTGGATGTGTCTGCCCCAAGTGCCACTGTATTGTTCTGTCCTTTCCTATAGCAAAACTTGACGAGGTGCCCAGCAGTCTGGCCATCTTGGACCAGGGAAAAATGATCTTTCTTGTGCTGTTTCTGTCCTCTACAGGAGAAATGTATGTTGTGTGCCCTAAAGAACAACCACAATCAGGGGTAGGTAGATCCATACGAAGATGTGCCTTGTCTCAGTCGGGTGCCCCGTCATCCCTAAGGCAGAGGCTCAGGCTGCATTTGCATCAGACCTTACCTGTGCCCACGCAGGCTCTGGCCCCACCACATCCACTCAGTCTTAGAGAACGTGGCACCAGGAAGGAGAATTGGGTAGCCTAGCCTGGAGGCGGCTGCCTGGAGGCTCCTTTGGAGGGAAGGGTGCTCGCCAGCTGCTGACCTGATCTTGCCTCAGGTTCCTGCCTTTCTCCCCGTCTAGCAGGAGACTTCCACACCAGGGCTGGGCACCCTCCTCATCCTTGGCATCTGGAGCTGCATTCTGATGTACCTGTGCTTCAACCTCTACATGACCGAGGACATGCTTCCAACTTAGTGCTGCCATGGAACCCACCAGAGCTCCAGTTCCTCCTCCCCCAACTCCTTGAGCTGCACAGTAGAGGCTTGTTGCCCCTTCCATACCACCCCGCCCCAGGCCTCCCGCCACCTGGATTAAAATCTTCATTGAAAGCCAAAGGGGGTGTCACCAAACTCGAGTATGCAGACTGTCACTTCTTTTGTTCTCCAGTCCCTCTTCCTGCTTCCTGGTGGATTAGTGGGAAGTTCTGTTTTGGTCATCCTTGGGGTCATCCTACCTCCCTACTGTCTCCCTCTGCTCCACCTTATTCTGCAAAGGCCCCAGGTCAGAAGAGAGGAGAGGCCCTAGAGATATCAGACACCTTCCTGTGTAGTCACAGGAGACACCCCTACCATCCCGTCCAATCACTCCCTCCATCTTCGTGGCTCTAGCATTGTATGTGTGTGTTGAGGGCAACCTGAGAGGTGAGGTACCGTGGGGAACCCCCAGGCCCAGAGTCTAGTGTGCAGGAGGACTCAGGACCTGGTGCACAGTGGTCGCCTTGGGCGCTGAGGATCCACCCTCCTTGTCCTCTAGCAGATTTCCTCCCACCTCCACAGAAAGGACACACATCCACCCCTTCAGAGGCCTTAGGTCATTGCAAAGGTGGGGATGAGCCAGTGACCTCCCCAGCTACACTCTGTCCTGCTCCAAATCCTCCTCCTCGGGGAAGATGAGGCTTGGCTGCTAGCTGACAGTGAGAACAAAGAAAGACACAGAGAAAACAGGATTTCAATGAACTCTTCTGTCATGGGTGTGCTTCTTGGCACCAGTTTGATGGAGAAACTCATGGGAGTTCATATTTTATTTAACACCAGCTCTTGCCTGTTTCATCTCCTTTCCAAGTTGGCTGCTTCGACTTTTAGACAGTCTAGTAAATAACTGGTTGTTGCTGTGTAGTAATGAGCAGTGTATTGGGTGCTTTAAATCAGCGGTCGCCAACCTTTTGGACCTCATGGGCCACCAGTGGTCTGTGGACCACCAGTTGGCGACCTCTGCTTTAGATACATTATTTTATTTATTTTTTAAGATATATATTTTGAAAACAAAAAAACAAAAGAAAACATAAGCCATGCCTTTATAGTTTTAAAGGAAATGGTAAACATGTATAATAAAAATCTGGACCCTAAGTAAATCAGTCCAGTGGTCTTACGCATGTGATGAAAGCAGAAATGGGGCAGGAATGGGAAAGGAGAAGGCCGGGTATAGCCCTGTGTCGTTTCCCTGCCGTGGTAGCAGATTACCACACAGTCAGTGCCTGGAGTCAACACAAAGTGGGTCTCTGGGCAGAAACCCAGGCAGTGGCCACGCCTGTTCCTTCGGAAGGCTCTCGGGGAGAATGTTTCTTGCCGTTTCAGCTTCCAGAGGCTGCCTGCGTCCCCTCTCACAGCCTCTTCCATCTTCAGAACCAGCATTGGCCAGTCCAGTCTCTCTCATTCTGCAGCACTCTGATCCTGGTTCTTTCTCTGCCTCTTGTGCCCACTTTTAAGGACCCTTGTGACCACGTTGGGCCCACCTGGAAATGCCAGATAGTCTCCTTATGTTAAGGTCAGTTGATGAATAAACTTCTTTCCCTTTGCTGTGTGACATAACATATTCACAGGCTCTAAAACATGGGCATTTTTAGGGGTTGTTATTCTACCTATTGCAGGGGACTCCCCAGATGCTGTCCTTTGGCTACCAAACCCCCAAACATTTGGGAACACTTCATTGTTCAGTTCTATGCTGTGGTGGTTTTTAAATAGGCCCACAAGTTCTTTGATGCCCTTTCAAGAAGAGACTGAATCCTCTCTCGTTGAGTGAGAGCTAGACATAGTGATTGCCTCTAAAGAATAGAATATGGCAGAGACGATGCTGTGTGGCTTCCAAGACTATGTCATAAAAGACATGTGACGTCTGTCTCGCTCTCAGACACTCATTCCAAAAGGAAATCTGATTGGGCAGGTTGGGTTGGATATCCACCTTGGTCTGATCACCTGGGTTCTGTGTCACAAAGAAGTGGGGGCATGTAGGTTGGGGCAACCCCCAAGAGGCTCGGTACACAGGATAGGAATAGCGTCTTGGGCAGAAGAGACAAGATGAAGTATAATTCCATTCTAGATGAGGTGACATTGAGACCTACAGAAAAAGCACCAGCTCACCAGCAAAGCTGGCCCATGTGCAGCGTCAGCAGGAATGAAGGGCTGTGACTCCCTGAAGGTCCATTCCCAAGGACAGATGGGACAGCTGTTTGCAGCTGGCAAAACCTGTTCCCTCAACACACACTTGTCCTTCTGTTGCCTCTGAGTTGGATGATGTGGGACTGGGGCCTGGAGGAGCTTGGGAATGGTCAAGGGCCAGGGACTGCAGAGACCACTGCCACCGTCTTAGGGCTTGACAAGCACTGCAGAATCATTTGCACAAAGGAGACTTGGCACTTCAGCTCAGCTTGGCAGCTCTGGTTCCCTGATGACCTTGTCTTAGTTCTTAAAACTGGCATCTGCTTAGGTTTGGAAACACATCGGGGGCAATGTGGCCACAAAATCAAGTCTCAAGAGCCCTCACCAAGTCTCCCTCAGCTCATGTGCCAATGTGAATACAGGTCACAGTCCCATGTGTCCATTTGCAGACATGATCTGGGATGGAAATCTGAGGAGTCGTGAGATTTTTCTTGGGTTCACCTCCCTTCCCCCAAACTTGCTTGGTACTGAGGGACCTAAGTGGGAAGTCCCCTGAGACTCTTCAGGGATGTCCACAGTGCTCAGGCCACAAGTCCTGAAGGGGCTAAGAGGGGGCCAACACATGCATCACTCAGGGGAGGCAGCAAAAATTCAGGTAACAAACAATTCTTAAGCAGGGCTCTGACCTTCATGCTGAGGATGAAGATGAAGACTTAAATGCTGCCTCTAAAAACCTATGAGCTGCATGGAGAGGAAAGACATATGCAGGTAGCAACCAGTGAGAAGTTGGGAAACTTTAAATGGCCAAGTGGCCAAGTCATTGAAGAGTTGTGTAGAGGCAAAGGGCAGTCCAAGGTGGATATCCAAACCAACCTGCTCAAGGAAGTTTCTTTCCCTGGGAATTCAGAATTGGGATTTGGTGAGACTCAGCTGGCCGCCAGAACTGAGGCCTCATAATTGGGAGCTGGAGAGGCATCTGCCACCATTAGCCAATGAAGCAGAGAAAGCTGATTTGTACAAAAATAAAACCAGTTTGCAGAGACACAAGAATAAAATGGGGAAGCTGGGAGAAGTAGTGACCCATGCAGTTCCAGAGAGGGGGCTATAAGTCTGGTACTAGCCCAGCCTTCACTGTGCGAGAGCCCCAGACTCTTAGACTGCAGGGTCTGGTTCTGTTTAAGCAGAGTGGCTTTCTGTTACCACCAAACAAGCCTGAACTAAGGAATCTCAGAGATTGTCTGATCCAATCTCCTCAACTTACAATGAGATTCTGAGGCCCTGAGAGGTGCAGTGAGGTGCCGTCAGCCACACAATCAATTTGAAGCAAATCCAGGACACAAAGCCAGATGCTCTGACTCCAGGCCCAGTGCTCTTTGCCTCCTTTGCTCTGTGGCACGTCCGGGGGGCAGGAATGAGGTGGGAGCACAGACCTGGGGTCAGGTGGATCAGAATACAAATCAATGGTGTGGCTGCAGGTAAGTCAGTTCACTTCTCTGAGACTTCGTGTTTTCATCTGGAACATGGGGATAGGAACATCTAGTTCACAGGGGGTTGTGAGATTAAATGAGAGTATATGCAGAGGAATTAAGGTGTGCTTTTAATGCCATGAAACAATGATGATGAGAACTGCCTTTCCTAGATTAATAGGCCTTTGATTCTCAAGGTCAGTTTCCTGACACCTTGACTAACTCCAGTCATAACATAGCCAGGTGTGCAATGAAATGAATGTTGCTCTACTTTAAGAAATAAGCAAATGACCTATAGCCTTTGTTTTGAGAGGAGGAGGATGTGCCTATTAAGAAATCAAACAGTAGGAAAATACACAAGTGGTAGGGGGATTGGGACTGGCTGGAGGACAGAATGGGTCCCTTGTGACACAGCATCTCACTCCTGTGACCTCAGTGTCCCATTCCCATAATTGGCTCTCCCCAGCTCACCCACGATGACAGGTGCTGCACCCCAGGCCCTGACCCAAGCAGTCACCAGAGAAACATGAGGGTGAGTCATTTGGCAGCAGTCAGGAAGCCAGAGGCCAGGCTGTGTCATCCATTCTATCAGTGCCATGGGCTCGTCATGTGCCCGTTCACAGCCTCTCTGGGTCACAGTCTGCTGCCAGCCCTGGAAGGTGGGTGAGGATGGGCTCAGGCATCTACTACTCATGATGGGACCACAGACCAATCTCTCTCAGACTCAACAGGTCTGATTATACCCATTTCCATGGCAACAAGCTACCCATCCACCTTCCTAAGGGTGTCCATGCTGCCTGGCTCCAGAGGCCCCTATTGCTTTTCTGTTTGAGCCTTCAGTGTTTCTAAGGTGATTCACCCTCCTACATGTGTGATCAAGGTGACTTTGGAACTTCTTTTTATATTAAAATGCAACCCAACCAAGTTCAATCTCCGGAACTGAGATAAAACAGCGAGTGTGAAAGCCCCTGTTGGAGAAGACACAGTTGGAGAAGTGCCCTCAGCAGGTGATGGAGTCAGAACATCTGGCTTTGGGTCCTGGATTTGCTTCAAATTGATTGTGTGGCTGAGAGCACCTCGCTGCACCTCTTGGGGCCTCAGAATCTCATTGTAAGTTGAGGAGACTGGATCAGAGACTGTCCATTTGAGACTTTAATATTGAGCTTTTAAAAGTGACAAAGAAGGGTTTTGTTTTTTTATGGGTGATGAATTTATGGGGAGATGAACAGCTCTGGGTGAGACATACCAGAGGCCTGGAAAGAGGAAAAATTACAGATGGCTGCCAGGTTTTCACTACAAGGGTGCCCGTTGTAGTCATTTAATAATATATGCTTAAAAATCAGGAACAATGTAAGTGGACACCAATTGGCTAAATAAATTATGGCATACCCATAAAATGGAATGCTCAACTGTTAATAATATCTTGTTGAAATATATTTAATGGCTCTAGTCAGTTTGGCTCAGTGGATAGAGCATTGGCCTGCAGACTGAAGAGTCCCAGATTTGATTTTCCGGTCAAGGGAACAGACCTGAGTTGCAGGCTTGATCCCCAGCCCTGGTTGGGGCATGTGCAGGAGGCAACCAATCAATGTGCCTCTCTCACGTCGATGTTTCTCTATTTCTATCTCTCCCTTCCACTCTCTCTAAAAAAGAATGGAAATATTTCCTCGAGTGAGGATTAACAAAAAAATAAAAAAAGACTATATTTAATGCCATCAAGAGATGTTGATTATATAATGTCCCCTACAGTCTGCTCTCAACAAGCCAAAGTTGTCCTATTAAAATGTTAGGTCATGTTGCCCTTATGCAGAACCTTCCAGTCTTTTCCCATTTCTCTCAGAGCAAAATCCAAAGCCAGTGGACTGCAAGGCCCTATAGGAACTGCCTTGCCACTGTTATCCGCCCCCCCCCCCCCCACACACACACACATTGTTTCTCCCCTCACTTTCTGAGCTGCAACCAGCGTTTCCTGCTCTTCTTCACACATACCATGTACACTGTTGCCCCAGGGCCTTTGCACTTACAGTGTTCTCTCCCATTTCCTCCACCTCAAAATTACCTCCTCAGTGACTCTTTCCCTAGTATTCTATACAAATAACAATATCCCCATCCATCCCCAGAGTTCCTTATCTCTCCCCTATTTTCTCTTCACACTTATCATCAACTTACATACATATATTTTATTTGTCATTGTCTGTCCTTTTCTACTAGAATGTGGGCTCCTTGAGAGCAGAGGTTTTGCTTCAGGCACTGCTCTATCTCAGGGCATAGGGTAGTGCCAGGTGTGTAGCAGGGGATAGATAAACACTTCCTGAAACGACAGATGAACGTAAAGATGTTTACCATATACCGAGCACTGTAGGCTCTGTGCTAAGAGCTTTACCTGCGTTGTTTCATTTTGTTCTTACAACAACCTATGAAGTCATTCCATCTCTCATTCTATGAAGTCATTCTGTCTGTCATCCTATGAGGTCATTCTTATTTTATGTAGGATGAAACAGGCTCGGAGAGAGAAGGAAACGAGTAATCTGTCCAAGGTCACAAATAAGTGGCAGAGTTGGGACTTGAACCTGAGCATCTGATTTCAGGACCTATTTCCTCTATACTCTTGCTTCTCACAACGTGGACCAGCAACATCAGCATTATCCGGGAGATGATTGGAAATGCAGAGTCTCAGGCTACATCCCAGACCCGCTGAACCACGGTCAGCATTTTAACAAGCCTTCCCAGGTGATCCCAGGACCCACTGAAGTCTGAGAGGCAGTGTGCCATGCTATGTATTTGGAACATAGGGGACCTCACTCTGAACAAGGGGCTTCCCACAGTCTGAGCTAGTTTGGCTTTGGATTCTGTACCTTTATAGGTGTTCCCCTTGTCCGCTGTCTCCACACTCAGGAGCTCTTCTGTATCTGCTGTGGCAATC